CTTTCACACGGTTTTAAAACAAGTTCATTCGCTTACCGCTCGTACTGCGTAAAATATTTAAGTATGCAGTTATATTAATAAAGATGTAATGATATTTAGTCGAATACTTTGTTAGTTATGTAGTACATCTCCTAATTTTAATCGAATTCAAATTTTTATGTATAAACTATTAATATTTTTTTTTACAAGAGCGTTCGTAAATTTTCATGTATAAGTTCAATAATTGTATATATACGTAGATTTATGATAAATTAATTTTTCTATATTGTGTTCTATGCGTAAAAAACATTATATTGTGATAAGTTAAATCCACGATGTACAACAATACAGAGACTGAAAAAAAAAAGAATAAAAGTTCAATTTTTAATACATTTGAGTTATTCATTTATTACGCGCAATTGTACAAAATCAATTCGAAAACTCGGTATTTAGTTAGAAACATTTCGATAATCTATTTAAAAAGAAATACTATTTTTATTAGAATGTAGAACTTTTGGAATTTCTATATGCAAGATCATAAAATTACTACTATCATTTTAGAAGCATTCAATACATTTTCTTACTATGTATATTTAATTCGTAAATACTTGTTTTATTTTCTAGCATAGAATATATATGTATGTGGAAAAAATGATACTAAAATCTCATTAATCTTGATTGCATAGAAAAGTAATTGTATAACGGCGTAATAAACACATTCGAAGGTGACCAACATGTATTTAAAAATATTTACAGATCTTGGACGATGTTTAATATTGAGACGTAATAAAACTGATTTACTAAAATTGAAAGAAAAAGTTATAATAATTGGACACACTTGTAAAATAAATTAGTATCTCTGAACAAAGAAGGTATTTATAATTATCTGAAGTAACAAACATCATAAGTTTGCCGAATATTTTTTTGTTTTTACCCTGTTCAGAGGTATGTTCTCTATACTCTATTTTTAGTTAATAAGTATACATACTTATGTAAAATATATAATGAATCCGATGCTGTAAGCATCAAAAGCATATTAATTTTACCCTGTTGTGTGAGAGTTTCTAACGTTTCTATTATCTTACTTCATAGGTAATAGCGATGAATCTATAGTTCCAGTGAGTATAATATATAGAAAGAGGTAAATATTTAGTATTTTCATATGTGCAATATTTACCTCGATTTTATGCAGTCGACATTTTATGTAATGCACATAATGTACAAATATAGGTAAATACAAGTTTATTTATCATTATACGAAAAAGATGTTCTACGCATACACAATATTGAATTTTTGATGAACACGAATTAATGAGGCATCTGATGTAAAATACTTTACTATACTAACTTGATTAATGTTTAAGGTGTCAGACTTTCTTTAATAAATGTTTTATGTGTACAATAATGTATTTATGATATTAATGATCTATTTATATTCGATCCATATGTATGAAGACTTTTGGCAATTTTGATGAATTAATTATTTATAGCTACAATAACTTATAAATTTGTGTTAAACTTAAGCCTATCAGACTTATCGCACGATAAATTAATAAATAAATAACAATAAGGATCATTATCGGTAAATGTAACAATAAAAATTATTATCGATAATAAAAAAGACGCGTCTTTCAGTCAAGAGTGTAGGAAATATAATTTAAAATATAATTTAAAATCTAGTTGAAATAGTTGAAAATAAGAGAACAGTATTGTAGTAAACATAAGAGGTACAGCAGTCTACAATAAAAAAATCTCTAACTACAATCATTTTTATGAAGACGAATAAATGTACAACGATGACAAGTGTGACAGTGACAAGTAATCTATCGAATAGACTACTTAACAAGGTACATTTTCTTTTTGTACAACAAAATGTTAGCTACCGCTTAGCTAATGATCACAGATATGAGATCAGGTATAGGGATATGGCACTGAAGTTATGTATTACTCGAACCAAATCTATCTCGAAATAATTAAACGTAGTTAGAACATTCATATTAGAATAAAATAGTGATGCTGACTGGTTCAGGTTTAACACAGGGACTGCAATGTGACTTAATTTGTTCAGATCAGATACACATAACAAAAAGAGTTTAATTGTAATAGATACTCTGAAACCATTAACATAAGATATACATATAGAATTGAATGAGCATGAGCAATTTTTTTTATAAGAACCATTTACAATAGAATATATAGCATTTAAAAAAATTATATCCTTAAAAATGTATCTCATAAAATTCAGGTTAAATTTGATATAATTTAATTAAATGCTATATATTAATGTTAATCAGTTCTTGAAGTAAGAGTCCAGATATATGAACTGAAATACTAAATAATTAGGAACAAGCTATACGATGCTTGCTAGTTGTAAAGCTTTTCTATCTTGGTAACTATCGATATCTAAATTGTGCATTTTTCTTTGCATGCCTCAGTTTCATTTTATTTATCAAGCTCGATTAGATCATTTTATTTTTTAGAATACGTAGCTCGTGTAGCCCTCGCGTAGCTCGCGTTTTAACGAAAGATGGACATTTGTATTATAAGAAAAATATATGGATTACTTTCAATTACGCAGCATACTATCTTTTCTTTCTTTTTTTTTTTCAACGGGACCTGAAGTTTCTTGTTATCATACGAATCGGTTGACTACTACTCTACTTATTTTGATAGGTACCTGTATGTATATAAGTTTATATTAAATAATATCTTTTTTTTCTTGATATAATATAGGGCTGCATCTCTATATATAATAAGAGGACAGATTATAAAGTGGAAGAAATTAAACATTTCCAGTTTTTATAATTGTACGGCAATACAAATAATTTTGCACCATTTGACGAATTTATTGACATTACGTGCTTGCATTAAACACTTGCCCAAAGTTACTCAAGTATAAGCGGGTAATTAATCTGAAATACAAAACATATACTATAAAATTGTATAAATCTTATATGTATCTCTATGAAATTATTACAAATTGGGAAAACGATAACATCATAAAACTATGAAATATAATATATAAATTTTGGTATCAGATATTTATAATACAAAATTTTATGCATATATGTATACATAATTGCAGTAGAATTACCTATGCAAACATGCTCCTGATACGATGTGTATCCTGTTTGTGTTCAATGAAAATTTGGATTTTTGAATACACTTTTAACTTTCAATCGTCAACCTGGTCGTATTACATTCCTGAATTTAAATTTGTATTCTTCAGGAACCTAGAGGAGAATTCACATATAATTATCATCATAAATTATTCATGTATAATAAGATATAGTAATGTCTACAGTGTTCTTCTAAAATTGTAATAACTATAAAGAAAAGTAACGTATAACATAATAATAATAACAATAATAATAACACATAAGAACAATCAATAATCCATACAAACAATTTATATATAATATTTTTGATATGTTTGATTTTATATCATTTTGTATATATCAGCAAACAAGTCATTAAAAACTATGCTATTATATAAAATAACCTTACCTTAAAAAAATGATACTACTTCAAAATATGTTTCCACCAAATAAGTTTCTGTTTGGCATTGATTATGTATGTACAAATATATATTTTTTTTCATACAGAAAACACTATACAGAAACTTTAATTTTATTTTACAAAAATTTAAAAGAATTTTATGTTTAAGAAAATTATAGCTTGCGACAGACGTCGCTGCAACCATGATAATATAGAAAAACATTAAAATTTAAATATTATCTTACAAAGCCTTATATCAATTACAATATCGCAAGGGTAGAGAGAGACGATGTCCAACCATAGTTTTAGATATACTCAGTTACGATAGTAGCAAAAAATTTGAGCGAGAAATTTTACTATGTGAAAAATGCAATCAACAATAACCTACGGCTAAGTTCTTGCTCCCTTCTATAACAGTATCGTTATTTAATTTAGCGTTTCAGTAAAGAAATGATGTATCATAATTCCTAGTAAAAATGTCATCATTGTACGGCAACATTTATTTGTTTAAAAAAAAGTAATTCAACGAAAGCACTGTCACAAATTTCATCTGTATTGTCAGTTTTTTGTTTCTATTTCATAAAAATGTTATACCCCTTAAAATGTATTTTGGCTAATGTATAAATAAATCTAACTGAATTTAGAAATACATGGTAGAATATAGCAATGGTATAATCTAGAATATCTCAAAATCCTTAAGATAAAAACGTTTGTTTTAGACAAAAACAATGGTGAAAAACTTTGGCTGATCTTAAGAAAATATTTTTAAGGTAGATTTATAAGGTTAGATCAAAGCTACCCAAAAAATGTCTATAAATTTTTATTTTTATTGCATATCCTTGATGTCGAAACTTTTTTTTAAAAAACTGATGAAATTTTTTCGATGAAAATTGTTTTAGTTATAAATCCTCAAAATACTTTCGGTTTTAGCGACTTTGTACCAATGGATAAAATTGTTATATTATTTACTTATAAAGAGACAAGAATATATATATCTCAAGAGATATTTTATTAAATTAAAAAAATTTACAATGTCGATATATGGTTGCAAGCGTATCTCACAAGACAAACGCGATATTGCAAATTTAAACGCTAACAAATAAATAAAGACATTTAGGAACAAGAAAAATATTTTATAAATGTATCTCAAATAACTAACTGATCCAAGGGATTAAATTCAATACAACATTATATTAAATTGTGTTATCAAATGAAACATTGTAAAGAAATAACTCATTAATTTTAAAAGATAAAAATATTTGATATATATTTTTTATATTTTTAACATAATTTAACAATAATTCTGCTTTGAATTGTAACATTTTCATATATGTTGTCATATATCAAAGATGATATGACGATAAATTATGTGATTGCAAATCATAACAAAAGTATCGACACTTACTGTCGTAACTAGGAACATCTAAACTGTGGTTTAACGGAATAAAATTCTCTACAACTTGCTTCTAGCGATATCTAACCAAACATCAAAAATATTTTATGCAGATGTCTTCTATATATAGCTAATGTAATTCTTCGCTGACGCTAATCTTGAACACGCTGCTGAACGATCTATCTCTAAATCTTCCTAGGACGAGTTATTTTCGCTTCCGTTTTGTACATATATTTACAAATTTACAGTGCCACAGCTTGAAGAACACATTTGTCCTCTATACAGGTTGCTTCCATTTTCTCTTTTATTTTTACAGCAGTGACTTTTCGTAATGAAATAGTATTGATCATCGACTAGTCTTCTTACGTCTTCGTTTTGACTCACCGGACGGATTCCATTCTGGATCAACATCGGTGTAACAATAATTTACCTTAGGAACGTTTCTTTTTGAGCTTCTCGTTTGTCTAATAGACGACTGCGTTTTTTTCGCCTTTTTACACGCGTTATCTTGCTCGATCGTCTCTGTTGTTATATGTTTCAGAGATGTTGGATTTGTGACGTCTTTATGCTGCGCAGGTGTCCTGTCCTGACAACCTTCTAGGCACACTGCGTTAGGCTGATCACCATTGGGTCGAAACTGACGCTCGTGATTTCTTGTACTTTCTTTCGTAAGATTATGTGTATTAGAAATGTGGATATCTTTGTAGCAATCTCTTCGCACTATATTCGAATTAAAGTGATAGCTGTCGTGTCGATTATCCTCTTCATTAGATTTAATGATTTGCGTGGGATGTTTCTGTGTATCATCTATCTTTTCTAAGGCTGCTATGGACATCATGGGAATTCCAGGATAGTTATCCAATTTCTCCGTCTTGATGGGTACCTTCTCATATGCCATTGACATCATGGCATGGGCTTTTAATCTTTTCTTCAGCGGCAACTTGTTCTCCATATCTTTCTTGAATAACTTCTCTGACTCGCGTGGCAAATCCAGTTTCTCCAACGTATTATTTTGTAATACTCTTTTACGCAATATTTGATCGTCATATAATTTACTTATTACCGCTTCACTTTTTGTCCTATCGTGCTCTTGGACGGCGGATGTTTGTACTGATGAATGTGTGGGCAAAAAATAAGAATTACTTTCAATGCAAGACACGTGGGAGTCTGTGGCCGGGTGTATACATTGTCTACAATGCGTGACTATGTCATACGTACAATTTAGACACGAGCAGTGTGATCTTCCGCATGAATTTGCGGACTTTGTGTGGAGCGAAGTAGTAGAATTAATTTGTAAACTACACGACACGGAGGTGCAATGCTTGTGATACGGCATACACAGATCTGTGCCGGCAGCGCAGTTCCCGTAAATCGAAGGTATTGTCGTGGGATGGGTGACTGGAATATGTAACGAATGTTGCGGGTCAATTACTTCATGCGGATGCGAATGTATTCCGTTGCATCCTTGTATTCCACAATTCGGCGTAATATGATTACTAAACTCTTGTTTAATGTTCTGTCTATAAGTAAGAATAGACTTGGATTTTCGTTTATCGACTGACTTACTGATGCTAACATTCGCAACATTTGTGTCCTGATAGATTTGCGACGTTGCAGGTAACACGTCGAGTGACAATGAACCTTTCTTACCGTAAGATTTCATTTCTGTAATGCTCATTAAGCTGCTTTCCTCCTCGGGCTCGATTTTTATACCTTTCTTCCTTCCGACGGAATATTTATTTTCTTGGCACGATAATTCCTTATTGTATTGCGGTAGATCCAAATTAAACGAGATATGCTCTGATGTATTAACAACTTCAAACGATGCATAATCTTCCGATGGAACCATCCAGCTCTTTTCTTTCATTGGACAGCTTTCATCGTCGCTATTATGATCTCGTGCATTTTCCACTGCTTTATTAATAATGTATAAATTACTATTGGGAGACTTTTGTAAGAGCACGACTGTTTCACCATTTAATATAACGTTCGTATTCTCTTTTATTGACTGCACATTGTTTTCCACCATACTTAAGTTGTTGGATATTGTATCTGTTTCATAATTGAGAGTAGTTTCAACAATATGCGAAACGCTATTGCTTGGATCATTTTCACCATCATCGGGATCAGTTGTCGATGTCACTTCAACATGAAGCGCTACTTTGTCTAATGCGTCTTCTGGATAAATCCCGACTATTCTATTGATGACTTCAGTGGATGGATTCTCCAAAATTTGAGAAACGGTATTCGATGAATCATTGGTATCAGCTTCATCATCCGTAGTTTGATTATAAGGAGAATTTCTTAACGATGCGTAATCCTTGACTTTGATTTGTTCGTATTTTAAATCACGATCGGTATTTACATGAGATACATGCTGACTTGCGATAACATTGGCTAATAACGAAAGCCCATCTATATTATCATGTAATTCTGCATCTTGAATGATACATTTATCCCCCGATGAATCCTGAATATTTTTCATATGTGATATCTCGTATGATTCTTTCGGTGATTTATGATGATGTATTTGGTCAACTTTTTTGCACAGTACAGAAGATCTTTCTAATTCTTCTATATTACATTCTTTACCACAATTCCTGTCAGATTCAATTTCTACATTTTCTTTATGATCTGCTCTCAAATCGATATCATTGACTTCATCTTTTGAACACAGTGACATATCAAGGACATTTGAAATATTTTTCTTATCAGCTGTGTGATTTTCAAAAATAGTTTCTCTGGTTTTACGATTAGAGAATCCGCTATCCTTTATGTCATCGCTTACTTCGACGCAAGTATCAATTTTTAAATCTGTTTGTACATTAGAATGGTCTTCATTCGTTATACTAATACTTACAGTATTATTTGCAACATCGTGACTTGTTGATACATATTTATCTTGAGATTGAGATTCTTGTGGGAGCCTTGTATTTTCAGTAATGCATGATTGTTGCAATCGTTTGAATTCTGGTGCATCATTTATTAATATTTCCACATTACTTACAGTTGTTGTAGTACGAGTTTCGGTTGCTGTCGTAGAAACTGCAAATTTCTCTTTATTTAATTCACTATCAATTATGGTGGATTTCAAACACTGTATTTTACAAATATCTTCCTGCACACATTTTTCATTGTTACCAAAATCTTCCGTTTTTTCATCATTTGTTTTATTCTTTGTGTTGTTTTCGCAGTGCGTATGCTCCAGAAATGAAACTACACCTGGGGATAATTTATCTTTAGTTGTACTAAGATCGTTAGTATTATGATTAGAGCTATCGTCTTTATCTTTGGAATCATCTTGGGCACATATCGAAGGAGTATTTACAGTTTTAGAGTGCTCTGTTCCTAAATCACAGATTTTTCTTAAACTTTTAACTCTTTTACAAGTTTCGCTTTCAGGCGGAGTGTCTTTTTCCATCAGTCGTTTAATCACAGTCTGTGTATTATGCCTATAATTTATTTTTTCATTATTCTTTACTTCCAAAGTATTATCATGACATTTGCTAATTTTATTAGCGTCATTCGAAATATCCAATAATGAATTTTTTGAAGCTTTAGCTTTATTAGACTGTGGTCTATCAACAATTACAGAAGAAGAAACTGTGCAGTGCAGCATATCAACAGTTTCACTTTTGTCACTGCTATTCATATCTACCGATTGTTTTACAGATATGGTATCATTATCATTGACTGATGTATGATTTTTATGTTTTGCATCAAGATGCATGGACTTCATTTGTTCGTTATTTAACTTTATATCCTGTATCATAGATGCACTCAAATCATTCTTCAAAGTTGTATTTTCTGTGGCATGTACGGGTTGAAGCGAATCTTCTAATTGCTGATTAAGAGTTATTTTCTTCAAAGAATCTGCTTTTTTCGCCATTTGTTGTTCCTTAATCTTCTGTGACGCTCTTATCGACTTCGCGTTAAATTTTTTCTTAGCTTCTTCCAGCCACGCAAGTTTTCTCGATTTCCTTTTCTTTATACATCTTTCGACAGCGACGTCAGTTGTAAGATCAATTAGTACTATCTTATTGGATTTTTTAGCCTTCTTCCGTGGAAGCACTTTTGGTTTCACCGATTTAGAGACAGTCCGTGTTACAGAAATATTCGTAGAAATTGTGCCTAAAGGTTTAACATTTGTTTGTTCTGTTAAATTTGAAGACTTTGAATTATCTGACAAAACAGAATTACTTTTTACATCTTTATCTAAAGAAACAGATTTATTTTCAATACATTCTGTATTTTTATTTTCGCGTGATGTAACTTCCAGCTAAAAATATATATTCGTTATTTCCTTGTCAGAAAATTTCAATTCTGTTACTTTTATGCAAATCTTTTCTTAACGAAAAAAAAAACTATAAGCAATTTTTTTTATATTTTACTGCATGTATACAACTTTTCTTATTATTAATCATACACAATTATACATAAAATGTCTACTAATCTACTAATTATTATTAGATATTAGACAACGAAAACTAAATAAAAATTCTGTGTATAAAGATTTTCTGATAATTTGCATAAAAGTAATTTTTTATTTTTTTTTTGCATCATATAAATAAGATTTAAAATAACTTTTTAAACGGAAATAGTTTTAGAATTATATATTATAAAAACATACAATATTTATAAGAAACATGATAATGTAACATATATAACATAATTTACAGTGATATTCGTTAATGATTATTAAGATTTTTTTGTCTGAAAGACATATGCTCAGATATGGTGCATTGCACAAAAGTAAAAGCATCAATGCTATATCGTCGAAATTGACATATGGTAATTTTACATACATTTTCACTACTGTGAGGCATGAATGTCGGAGAATTTAATTTGCTCAATTTTAAATATTTCTCGTTGAAAAATTATTATAACCTTGTTATTTTGGTATTGGAATTTTTATTTTAAAATGATCTCCAAAGTGTATCATTAATGAATATCACAACAAGTAGTCTCGAACACTATGTACGTACCAGTGAAGTATTCTTGGATGAGCTTGGAATCGTAGATGTATTTTCACTTTGTTGCTGACACGTATCTCCTCTGTTTTCTTTACAGAACTGTATAAATATTTCACAGCATTTTTTTATATCAAATTTCCGTCGCATCAGATATTTTGCTGAATTTTTTGGTTGACACTTTGGCACTTTCGGTAATATATCTTTTAACACGCATGGTGGGAAAGCTGCTGGTGGTGTTCCCAGAGAGGCAATTGCGGTTGTAGTAATGTGATTTTTCATGGCTAAATCACTATTTATTTTTTTCCAAAGACAATAAATAAGAAGATAACGAATGTACGTAATATTTGATTCGGGATGCTTTGGAATATTTTTAACTACTTTTCTGAAACCAAATAAAAGAAATAGATATAATAATATAAGAAACTTTAATACATATAAAATTATATAAAAAAATAAATCTTTAAATATGTACATTTTTTGTGCATTTAATATCAATTAAGTGTTAAGTGATAAACTATAAAATCTATATTAATAAAATTGCGTAAAACATAAATAAAATCTCTATGTTTTAGTAATTCATTGTTCAATAATAATATAAATAATATAGCAAAATGTCGATAGTTTCAAATTAAATTACGTTACATTTCTATATTATACTTACGTTATTATCGGATCTAAAATACGATGATAACCCTGGCACATACATTGTGTTTTTATTAAAGTATCTAACAAATGTTCTGTGGAATGTTCTGGATAAAACAGAAAGATTTTATCATTATTAAGTTTCAGTGAATTAAGTACTTATGTACCGTTACCAAATACATACCTAAATATACATAAAGACAAGAAGTAAGTCTTGTGCAAATTCTGTTATGACCTTCCTTACTCTTTTTTGAAGCTTTTAATTCCATATCTATGTACAATGCCAATAAATCGGACATATTACTTAAGTAAATAGATCTATTACGGTCCTGAAAATGATGAATCATGTTTGTTGAAATGTGAAGTGTTACTACAAAAAGCTGTATGCACAGAATGAAAAAAGGATTATACAAATATAACATAACATAATAGGCTGCTAAACTTACCTCAGAAAGCTCGCGATAGATATATAAGAACAAAAGTAAGGTTTCATTAATAGAATCCTTCAACTTTGCTGCTCGTAAAGGCTTTGTATAACATTTATTCACACTGATACTTACATTTCTGTAATAAAAATATGAGATATACATCTGCTGTAGAACAAATGTATAATATTGAAGGTAGATGTTTGGTATGTGTGTAACATTAAAAAAAATTTCTGAACATATTTATTACAACTTGAATTGCAGAGAGCAAATAATAAAATTGTTTAAATAATTATCTAAAGCTATTATGTATATGTATGTGTAAAAGTATATAATTGATAATGCATTAATCTATATTTTTAGTACATATATATATATATATATATACAACTTATATTTCTATATATATAAATTTTATAATTCTCGGGAAAAATAAATACTATATTTTTAAATATAAGTATACAGTGCGCAGTATTAGAATCTAGCTTGTAACATTTTGTGTAAAATGGAATACATTAATGAAACGACATATATGTTTTCAATAATCTGTAAATAAATCTTCGCGCGTGTATTTATAAATTACAATACTATGGAAATGATTATTAAATACTTCTTTTACAGTTTTAATATCATCTTGTAATAGATAAGACAATATTTTTTCGACCTTCAGACACAATCTGATTAAGTTATCGAGAGGGTCAATGCAATAGCATGATGACCCTCAAGATCAGTTCAATAATGATATCGTGTAGAGGAAATTGTGTACATAACGCATGTGACTAATGTTTTTCAATTGATAAAAAAAGGAGCAGCAGTAAATTATTCACAAAATAAGATACATTAAAAAAATTATTACATTAAAAAAGTCTGTATTAATTTTATATCGTTCTAAGAATTGTTACTATATCGTCTCATTTAAAGTTTTGAATTACACATTCTATTTCGAAAATTTATTACAAGTTTAAAACCATTATTATTTTCGCATTTGCACACAATTGAAAATTATTAAATTTACTGCTTCTAAAACAATTTTTACTTTAAATTGCAACTACATATGAAAATCATTTGATTAAAAAATATTATTATTATATTATCGTTAAATTGTAACTATATTTTCTTTTATTGCAATTTATATGTTATAGCTATTTATTAAAATAATTATCTTTTCAGGAAAACTATTTTATTAGAAAAATATGATGTTACAAAAAATATGTTTTATTAACTTAATAATGAAATATCAATACCATAAAATCATTATTATGCATCTGATTGAAAGTTTTTCAAAATTATTCAACAACTCAAATTTCACTTTTCATACAAATAGATCTGTTGCTTATTTTTCGACATGGATATCAATTATTGCTATACATCAAACGTATATTATAATAAATACAATAGTATTATGACACCAGTGCTCAGGATGATAATACTGGTGAACTGCGTATAGTATTACATAAAACACTGAATGTAAATTACCTGATATAGTACTGCATAAGCTCTGCCAAAGAAGCCATACTTTTGTTTGCATATATACATTTGCACATTTTTTTAAATTCTGAGACCCATGGAAATAATTCTACAATTGTTGATTTTACATCGTCACTGTTTTGTTTAGACCCTTCTTCATTGTTAAACATTGCGTTTTTGATATCTAGACATCAATCCAGACATTCGAATCTTTTAATATGTTCGGTCACAATAAAACACAAAAGAACGAGCAACGAACAACGTGTTCCCGTGCCGATAGCGACGAAAGATGTATAAAGACATTAAATATTGATTGACAGAAATACCAAGTATCTCTCCGTTATAATATGAAAATTGCATTTTCTAACGATTAACTTAAGCATTCCGGAGAAAACGATCGCTAACTGATGATAATATCGTGCCACATTATCGGATGATTGATTAAAGTTAGCGAAATCTATTAGTTTCTCATTCGTTCAAGTATTTCGTCGGAATTCGTCGCGTCGATTAAAGAAAGAAAAAGCAAGTTCTCAGCGATGCTCACAAAGATCGATAATTGTTACATCCTCTTAAGTAATTCACGCACGTCTCTAAACTGCCCATCATTTTCTTACAACCCTGACCATTCTTAACATCTGCTACGGCAGGTGCCGAGAAAGAGAGAGACCCATGTAGACTATAAATTGTCGAAAAGCCGGTTGTATATTTCTGTAACGTTCACAGCTGAATACCACGTTTTCCGAGCCGTTTCACTGTATAGTTTTCGAGGGAGGGTGAGAGAAACGTGAACCCCTACAGCCCAACGCCACGCGTGCTTTCGAAGTCACCATGAAAAACCGACTTTTAAAACTTGTGAAACTTTTACGACCGTCTTCTGAAATTCCTGAATTGAAGATCGTATCGATCGGCCGTTCACGAATCACCGGTACGAAAGCCAACAAAGCGGTGTCGTCGTAACGAAAGAGCGAAAGAGGATGACACGCCGATAGTAAATCTCCGAAGGACGTATCGATTGTGTCTTGGAAGGAAGGACGTTGGGTCGAGCAGCGAAATTCGTGGAATACCCTCGGATGGGTTCGCGCGACTCCTCGTCGTAATTATTGTCAGGAGGCAAGACTGACGAGGGTAAAGCGAACGTCAGATGCGCCAGAGCTGATTCGGGAGAGCACGAGACTTCAGCGTGGCTGGAAACAAGAGCGTTTTCATTTTCGTCCTTGGAACGAAAACACGCGGTCGTTCCCTCATCTCACGGTCGACGGCACTGCACACTTTCGATTTTCGAGTCACGTCGGCACCTCCGTGCTATGCGTCGGCGTCGAAAACTCCACATCGGCGTCTTCGCGGACTAAGAAGAAAGCTGCCCAAGCCACGCATCCGCAACACGAGAAAACGAGCGACCACGCGGATAACTCGAGACGCGACGCGGCGCGGTCGGCGAGTCGTCTCCGGACGAGTACGATTGAATGATGACAGCGATGACAAACGGCGAATCGATCGCGACGAGATTCCTCTCTCTCTCTCTCTCTCTCCCTCTTTGGGTGCACGAGGGGATCTCGCGTCGTCGGGTAAACATTCGATCGACGACTGTCCCTCGGTCGCACGGACGGTAACAACACGTTGCTCGCACGCGCGGCGAAGATGATGATGCACCACGTACCTTGTACCGCACCGATCTGTTCGCCGCTCGCGGCGGCTGCTGCCGTCGCGGCCGCCTCAGGCGTGGCGCAGCTCATTATGCGGGTACGTGCCGGGTACCGTTCGTTATATCCGGGTATTACGTAAAAGTGTCCCTCCTGCTTGCAGTATACCTCATGTTAGGGGGATCGAACCGAGACTACTATCGCGTCCACGTCTCTGCGCACACTGCGCTCACGTCAACGGCCATATTGATACTGACGCTTGACGCAGATACCGCGAGAGAGCGTGCCCTGCGCCCCACCGTCCGTCCGGCGGCGCTTCGGTTCTTCCCTCTCTCTCGTCTCTTTTTTTTTTTCTATCTGTTATCCGGCATTTGTCACGAGGAGTTCTGTCTCGTAACAATGATATTTCGCTCCCTCTCGCTTTATTCCCCTCCCCCTTCCTACCCCGGGTCTTTCGTTCCTACTTTTCTCTTTTCCGCCTTGATTCGTCTCTCTCGTCCTCGCTACGATTTCTGCGACGACACGTGAGCGCGTCGGTCTCGTACTGTCGCGAGGAGTGCGAGGACGCGCCGCGGCGTTGCCGCAGCGCGGCGACGGCGGCTAGCTATCGATGTCGGGCGCATTCGAAACTTCGATACTCGCTGTTCTCTCTCTCTCTCTCTCTCTCCCCCCCGTCTCTCTAACGCGCGCGCGCGCGCGTGTCTCATACCTCGGCGCCGTTAGTCTCTCGCGCTTTCTCCTCTTCTCACTCACTCCCACTCTCTTTCTCTCTCTCTCTCTCTCTCACTCTCAGGGTTTACTAGAGTCGGTAGTGCGGGGGTTCCAGAAATGAATGGCTGATTCGTCGGCTGCTCAGGTAACCCGGCCAATGGAAGCGCGTTGCACGCGCGATGCGCAAATCACGAACCGAGGACACCGTTATCCCTCCCCTGCGGCGGGCCCAATCAGATACGAGCAATTAAGTAATTGCGGCGCACACGGGGCACACGCGCGCTAGCCTACTATCCAGCTAGCCGTCTAGCCTAGCGCGATGGTACTCAAATCCAATACCCGCTTGCAATTTTCGAACGAGCGCCAGAGTGCGGGGTGCTCTCTCTCTCTCTCTCTCTCTCCCCCCCCCCTACTGAATGGATATCGATACGTACTTCGGGAATATTAACATAGCCGCAAGACTCGCGAGAATTCGAACGAGCTTCGGAACGACTCGATCGATTCGGGGAGTCCAGTCGACGGATCGTGTTTTGAAATCGCGCGCTCTCTCGCGTAATCGGGACGCGTAAGTGTGCGAGCGCTGTTTCCTTTCCACCACTCCCGCGTCGCTGTATTGGTTAACCATTCAGTAATGACTTATGAGTTAGGAAAAAAAAAGAGGATAGGAAGAGTAAGAAGGCGACATACACGGTATGTTTTGTCTTTCTCAACCAATCTCTTTACACGGTTGCCAGGTCCCAGGCATTATACGGCTGCAGCCCAAAGATCCGTGCGCTGGAGATTTCATATTTCCACTGGAGGCCGATCGATATTGTTTCCAAAAAAGGACGTCAAAGAGATTGACCAACATACAGTGAGAGAGCTTTCCAACAAGCGACACTGCGTAATACACACTCACGGAAAAGATTTCTGGGATTCAATCCTATTACTTCTCGATCTACCATAAAATATAGGATCGACATAGCGACAATCATATTTATCATTGAGAAAAGAATATTTGTCTTAAATCTTAACTCCAGAATAAAATGACCTTTATATTATCCTTAATGTTCTCGTCCCCCCCCCCATATAATATTCTTGACTTAATAGAAAGGGCTGAGAGAAATGAGATTCGAGATGTAACATCCCGATATTCTGAAGTATTTCTTCTAGGATTATGTATTTAGGATCCATTATTATGCACTGTCGAACAAGTATAAACACGAGTAACGCACGATGAACACGGAATAAAACAACTGGACACCACGTATTATTGCGTTGTCGCTGCAGTTTCATAACAATGATAACGCGCATGATCCTGCGTGATCCTTCTGCATCATGCGTAAAAGGTACGCACCTTTTATGGTGCGCGATGCGCGAGTGTGGCGTTATAGTGAAGTCGATAATGATGTATTTTAAATGTAAGCATATATAAACTTGAAATTAGATGTATTACACACACTTGTCTTAAGCTAATAAGTCAATCTTATATAATTCGAGGGGAAAAGAATAGGAATTACTGATTTAATTTTAATATTAATTTAATTTTGTATTGCATAAAGATGAGATAAGATTAAATACGTCAAGAATATTTTTCGTTTCGTTATTAGAAATCTTTTCTGTGAGGGCAGTGATCATTTCATCTTTGTTTAACGTTGGCGAACAACAAGGATGTAATGATTTACTGTGACACAGTGTGTCGCTTGAATCCTTTGCTCCCAGTATCAATACAATCACAATCACCAGATAGTGGAATTAATAAATACCCCAAGCGAGTGGAAAAACTGAAGATTTTTCCCGTCGACTGGAGAACTGGAGATTGATCTTAAAAACTGGAGACCCTAGTCGAAATCTGGAGACCTGGCAACCGTGCCTCTCTATCGAAAGAAAGAATGCTCTATGCTCCTCTTGTCTTGTCGATTCAACATTGTTACGTATCAAAGGAGCAATGATAATCTAATCCGTTAAATTAAACAACATTTTGTTATTTTTAACTTCCATCTGTGGCCGATATTCATAGTCGTTTCTTGTATTTAAGAGACTGTTTTATGTACAGTCTTAAAATGTCACGAACCAATCTCGCGGAGAGTTGCATTAGCGTCTGAAGACATCCTTAAGATAACAATATTGAAATAAACACGGACTATATTGATCAAATGTAAATTAATCCATTTCCATGTTATAATTCCTAAGTAAACACGTCTATATTAACGCATATGCGCATTAAGTAAATAATTAATCAAATTTAATACATTTAATACAATACATTTTCTGAAGTTTGTTCGAAATTGTTTAACTCTATTGTTTTAATGACCTATAGATATGATTTTAAAAACTCAAAATAAGCATAATTTGATATTATAAATTAACAGTGAAATAGCAACAAAAACTTTCAGACTGAAAAGTTATTAAAATTAACGGAAATGATTATAAACAGAGTGATTCATAAATAAATGTCAATATTTCAAGAAATAAATCTATACACTAAATAAGCAAAAAAAACTTCATGAATATATGTTCTATATACCTTGGTTTTAAAGTTGGAAGAGTTATTAAAGGAAATGTTCGAAATGTCCGCATCGTGCGGACTTCACACACGCTACTACACTGCAATATCGATGGATACTATTTGTAAACATTAGATAAAGTCAAGGCGTACTAAAACGTACAATACGCCTGTCGACGTATGAAAAAGGGGTATGTTAAGTTAGCACCCCAACTATAGTACTCAGGAGTTCTGATTAGAGTTCCCACTTCCTTTTGACGAGACGAAGAGTTCCCTATAGTTAATAACAAGAGTTCCGCTCAATAAACATTTTTTTTACATTTTTTAAAAATGGGGTGCTAACTTTTTATCGAATTTCGAGGTGGAATAGTTCTGAGCAGCTTAATAGATTCAATTTGCGATTGCCTAGAGTTCCTGATATGTAAAAAAAATTTTCGAATAATAAAAAAATTAAAATTTTTGAAAAATTAATTTTTAGATACAATAGTTCTGATGATAATTCCTGCTTCTTTTTGGCGATACGAAGAGTTCTCTATGATTTTTAATGACATATGCGCTTAATAATTATTTTTTAATAATTTTTAAAAAATGGGGTGTTAACTTTTTAACGAAATTCAAGGTCGCATAGTTCTGATCAGCTTAACAGAACTATTTTGTGAATATTTAGAGTTCTTGATACATAAAAAACATTTTTTAAATATAATAAAGTTTAAAAAAAATAGTGGAAATCTTTGAAAATTTTTTGGAGAGTATCGAGTAGTTCTGAGTAGCGTTTCTTATAGTTCTCGACGAGTTCTATCGAAAACTGTAAGGTGAAAAAGCGATTGGACCAACGGTTTCCGAGATATACTCTAAATACATTATTGAAACTTAGTGCATTATTTTATATTATACCAAAGAGACTACACTCACAGAAAAGATTTCTATATTTAATGCTATTACTCCAAGGTCTAGAATAAAATAAGAGATCGACAATCATATTTATTTTTGAGAGTAGAATATTTTTATCTTAAATGAAAGGTTCTAAAATTTAGAATAAAGTATTCTTGATGTTAGCTCATTACTTTTCTTAATAGAACAATTTAAGTTCAATACAATATTCTTCATTTAAACATACTTATTTTATTTCTACGGAAGGAATTTTATTCATATTTTTACGAAAAACTGGAGCTCAGTCGGGACTCGAACTGGGGATCTCTCGTTCCGCGTGTCTCTCTGTCTCTTATCTAATGCGCTACTCCACGAGAGCTTCGCTGCTTTGATGTTGTAGCATCGCGTGGATATAACTGGATGGACTTATTTCTAAATATAAGAATATACAAATTTCTAAATTTATACGTGTTATACTTATTTCAAGATAAAATGTCGATCTTATTTTATTCGAGGGTGTAGAATACAAATTATTGATTTCATTTTAAAATAATTTTAATTTTACAATGTACAGGGTTGAGATAAGATGAAGTACGTCAAGAACTTTTTTTTCTCAGTATTAGAAATCCTTTCTGTGAGAATAATAACAATAAATAGTCAGATTGGATGAAACAAACAGATTACTAGTCAAGTGTACATGTATTTAATATTCAAACTTAATTTTTCGAAAACAGAGCTTTATATAAAAAAAAATCGTATTCTTCGCTTCATGTAAGAAATCGGGAATACCCTATAATATAAGAAAAAGTGAATCCAAAAATTTAGAATCGTTCAAGATTAATACAAAACAGAAATCGTCTTTCGAAACGTAGAATAGATTAATTAATCATAAGTTAAGAGCGAGTTTGTTTTCAATCCCGCAAACACAATAAGTGTAGTAAGCCTTACGGAATTGATCAATAATCGATTATTCTTCTCATATTCGACAGTGATAGATGAATTTTTTTAAAGCTTACCACACCTATTATATTTGCGGGATAAAGCGATCGTAAAGCAGTCTGCGGAATTACGTTTGGATTTGCGAATATCCCCCGTTCAATACCTCGCCGGAGCGAACCGAGACGTCTGTATTCCGGCGGACGCGTCACACGCCGCGTGCACACGCCGCACCGCATTCGGAGTGCGA